TGATGATGATGATGGAGGCCTGTAATGCTCCTCTGCGTGGGAGACTTTTCTCCCCGTATTTTATTTCCTCTCCTCTGTGGATTTCTGCTCATATTGTCACAGCAGTGGAGCCTGCTTGTTAACGCCGTTCGCTTCCACAGTGTTGCCATGCCAACCCTCCCTCTCCTCTGTTTAACAGGATTCCAATGCAGAGCCGCGCGCTCCAATCAGAGTAAAGCTCGTAACCGCTCCGGTTCTGTTAACTGTTTGCTGCCTTCAGGCATCTGGGATCAGTTATCTGGACCTCCAGAACCAGCAGCAGGAAGCTCTGGTTCTGGAGGTCCAAAGTCCTGCTCCTTCCTCCTCAGTCTGCAGTTCATCTGCTGATGACCCAGATCTTCTGAAACAGAACGGTGCAGAACCTCCATAACCGGACCTCCAGAACCAGATCTTCAGAACCAGAAGGGTGACTGAGGCTGTTTCTCAGGTCTCTTTGTTGTTTAACAGCTGAACCTCCATATCAGCATCAAACACCTGATGCTGCTGAAGGTTCTCAGTCATCCTGGTCAGAGTCATCCCAAAAAAAGAAAATTAAAAACATCCGCTGGACTTTGACTCCAAGTTTGAAACCTGGAAACTAAGTTCTGGATGTTTTTCATTTTCATTTTTTGGAATCAAACATTTCAAAGCTCCATCTGAAGCATCTGATCAGCTGATTTTAGTGTCTCTGTCTTTAAAAACTGAAGCAAACTGATTATGAAGGTGATCAGGAGTTAATCTGAGGTTTTGGTTTCTAAAAGTTTCAGCTCAGAGGAACCATCATGGAGCCTGCTGAGGAGAACTTTGATCTGTGGAGAGACGACTCCACACCTGATCCAGATGAGGAGAACCATCTGGAGCAAAAACTGGTCTGAACAGGAGAAAAGAGGCAGAGCAGAGAGGAACCTGGAGGAACCTGGAGGTTGATGATGATGATAACCCCCCCACACACACACACACACACACACACTCACACTCACCATGCTGTCGAAGTGGATGAGCTCCAGCTCGTAGTCCGGCAGGATGTCGCTGCGCCCGTTCACCAGGTCCAGGGCCATCTGGGCGGACGGCATGCAGGCCTGGCCGCCCGGCCAGCCGCCGCTCATGGGGAACAGCGCTCCGATGTAGAGCTTCTTCTTCCCTGCGGACGGCCGGAGCCAGAGGAGCAGAGGGAGGATGAGAGAACAGCGGAGGAGCAGCATGCTTCAAGGTGAGCCGAACCGAGCCGAACCGAACCGAACCGAACCGGGCCAGGCTGAGGAAGCTTTCTGAGGAGCTCAACACGTGACCGGAACCGGAGCGGAGTTTGGTTCCGAGGAGCAGCGGATCAGGCTGGAAGCTCCTTCATGCTCCTGCAACATGATGATGATGATGATGATGATGATGATGATGGAGGTTCCTGATCGCTTCCACACCGACAGAGCTGGAAACCAGCCCCGATCCTGGATCTCATCCCCACGCGGATCCACGCAGCCTCCGACGTCACGGAGAGAAAAACCATCACAGCCCGAAACAGCCGCGCGCCTTTTTCTGCGGATCGGAGTCCGCGCCCCCCCACTCCCACTCCCACTCCCACCCGAACCTAACGGAGCCGCTTTGAGCAGCAGAAGCGGAGAACAGCGGAGGAGATCTGCGACTGATCCACTGCAGCACCGGCTGGCAGCGCGAGGGAGGAGGAGGAGGGA